TTTGTTGGTAAGTGTGGATGGTAAGTGTGGATGGTAAGTGTTTGTTGGTAAGTGTGGATGGTAAGTGTGGATGGTAAGTGTTTGTTGGTAAGTGTGGATGGTAAGTGTGGATGGTAAGTGTTTGTTGGTAAGTGTAGATGGTAAGTGTAGATGGTAAGTGTGGATGGTAAGTGTTTGTTGGTAAGTGTAGATGGTAAGTGTGGATGGTAAGTGTAGATGGTAAGTGTGGATGGTAAGTGTTTGTAGGTAAGTGTGGGTGGTAAGTGTGGATGGTAAGTGTTGGTTGTTTGGTCGGCCGGTTTCCGTGTTCTAAAAAAATACACTTGTTTCCGAAAACATTGAACCATTCAATATTAAGTCTGAAATGTTCTTGTTCTTGACAAGGAAAAATTGTAAGTGTAAATGGTTAACAAGTTTTACTTGACAATTCCTCCTTGACAATGTTTCTTTGCTCGTGTAAACGAAGAACCAGTTTTCCTTGACAATTGTTCCTTGCCACATTTTCCTTGTTGTCCATTTACACGAGCAAATTTTGTACTTGACAATTTTTCCTTGTCAAGGAAAAGCGAACATGTTAGCTTTTCCTTGCCAAGGAAAAATTGTCAATTTTACCACATTTACACGAGCAATTTTTCCTTGTCAAGAAAAACTTGTCAAGGAAAAAATGCTCGTGTAAACGGCGCTTTAAAGTATCCTGTTCCTKTATGTCACCAATTATGTTTCTGTTTAGCACAATTTATATTACACTAATCAGTGACCCCTCTTCAGTCAAAAACTAGCTGCTAGTTACATGTATGATGTTTAGGTAGCATGTATGAGTGAATATATAGCTGGACGTCATTTCCCAGTCTAGAGAGCGTTTTGTTATTTTATATGGTCATGTGGTATGAATATCATATTGTACATCACACACATTACATCTAATTTGTTGATTGTGGTGACATTTGTTGACTGTTAAATGTTATGACAAAGTTCTTGATGAGGGAACAAACAACAGCTCATTCAGGATACCTTTTTTAGACAAGCTAAACAACGAAAACCGCGAGCAAGAAAAGAAAAGCCAAAGAAAACAGAAGAAAGATTATCTGCCAAGCAGAAATTGAAGATTAAGTCGAAAGCATATATTTCATCCTCTGAGGACTCGTCAGATTCTGAGGAAGAAAAGCTGAAAATTACAGAAACGTACGTACATAACAGAACTTAAATAGAGGATATAAACATGGGGGCGCGGAGATATTTTAATATCTCCAACCACTGCAGTAGCATATTTATACTGTGTTGACCAATTCATGATGATGTTTTCAACCTTGACAGGGCAAAAATTCCATTACTTGAAAAGCACTCATATAATACCTATTCGATAGCAGTCTCTATGTTAATTGTTGAAGAAGAAAAAGCGTATTTCCTGAATATAAATCGATGTATTTGTGCTAAAGTACAGTAGGATAAATATTATACGTGGGAATGACCATTCTAAAGAAAATGTGAGACAAACCAAATGGTGTATCTTCATGAGGGCTATCAACTAAAGTTTGAAACTTGTAATCTCGTTGGTRCGAAAGCTCGGACTAATGTGATTAAATGTCTTAAACGTCGTTGGTCTCACAGTTTTTTAGAACTGTAGGATTAAATATGAAAAAGTGAATAATGAATTAAAGTAGCTGTCCAGGCTTACTACTGTGAAAAGCAAACTTCATAAATAAGGTGTATGATAAATGTTGTTTGTAACGATTACGGCAGTACTTTTAGTTAGGTTGGTTTATTTTTGAAAAATGTATAGTTGACAGCAGTAATTATTCTATTTGGTAGAGTGCTCGCACTTAAAGCGTGAAACAAATAGTACTAATTACTACTAAATAGTGTTGATTATACAATAGGAAACAAAGGAATTTGTATAATTTATCACCTATTTCGTAGTATTTATATTTCACGCATTTAGTGCGCGCACTCTACAATAACTACAGCATTTTATGATAATTGTTATTACAGAGGAAGTGATGGCGAGGACAAAAAGAAAGAGGGGTCCGATCCAGCGCTTRATTCGGAATCAGACAGGGACCTTGATGTGAAAAGTGATGAAGAAGACAAGAGCAATTCTGAAAATGATGACAGCGCTGACGAAGAAAGGACTGTAAGAGGAAGAAAACGTATAATAGCTAGTGACGATGGTAACAGTGATGGAGATAACGATCCGTCACCAAAGAAAAGATCCAGAAAACATCTTGTTAGTTCGTAAGTACTGCAATTCCTTGTTAGTGTAATGGCGGCTACTTGTAAAATCTGKTCATATTTTGTATATTGATACTGTATGATTAAGTAACAATCGCAGTGTAATTCTGTCACCCTGATCCCTCTGGCGACCATAATCCTTTAGCGTTAAAATAATGGAATGTTTTGGTGTGACTATGCGATAGGGCAATTCTCCATAACTTCTCGATCAGTGAATGTTCACTCATAACTAACTGTTAAGATATTGAGGTTAGAGCAGTAGAAGAATCATTCACAATATAATTTTCACTCTTGAGGGTTTTCTCGTAATATTCGCTTGTAATATATCGCTCGTAAAGCAATCTCTCTCCAARTTTAGGGAAAGTATCGTACCAAAATAACACTTGGTTCGCCTGTCATTKCACTGARCCATGYGGTTCTACAAATCTTTATGCTACTAAARCAACTRCGTCCGCATGCGCTTATCTTAGTCATTTTATTGCTGAACGAGGAAAATAAAAACTATGCAACAATGCTGAATTTATGACTCGTCGATTTCGCGCTAGTAAAAAATTYCGGGTTTTGCCAAGTCTTAAACAAGTAACRATGACSTAGTTAAATAACAGCGCATAGATCTTTAWTGACAATTTGTTCGGTTGTTATTCGTTATTATCYATGACATGAACTTCGCTCCAACATTGGGGTTTCCGCAAGATGGCGTCAACCCCTC